GACATACGGACAAGATTGCAAAATTATGTTTTTCCGTATCAGTGAGGTGTGAAACGTCGAGATTTGTAAAAATCTCGATTTTTTTTTGCACGATTACAAGACTTTCTCTATACTTCGTATATACGAGAAAGTAAAAAAATGCACTGACTTACACACATGACATGATATGATGTAGTAATTTGTTTTAATTGAAAAAAAACATTATTTTTTTCAAAGCCCGAACAGGCCGGTGATGAGTATCCTACGTTCGAATTTTGTGTTTGTATATATATATATATATATATATATATATATATATATATATATATATATATATATATATATATATATATATATATATATATATATATATATAATATATGTATATATATATATATATATATATATATATATATATATATATATATATATATATATATATATATATATATATATATATATCTAATATATGTATATATATATATATATATATATATATATATATATACTAGCCGTCCCGGCCAGGCCCTGCTCTGGCTTCTGTGAAAAACCTTTCTGTTAAAGACCATCACCTGTGTGTTTAGTAATCATCATAAACCCGGCATTGCCCACCCAAACCACAACCAACCAAAACAACAAAACGCAAACATAACGCTAACACAATTGCAAATACAAACGAAAACAAAAACCTAACAACAAACCCAACCACAACCACAAACACCAATACAAACACAAAGAAAAAACAAACAAAAAAGCAAACGAAAACAAAAACCTAACAACAAACCCAACCACAAACACCAATACCAACAAAAAAAACGAAAAAGCAAACGAAAACAAACTAAAATCCAAACGCAAAACCAACCAAAAACACAAATACAAACCCAAAGAAAAAAACACAAACAAAAACGAAAAAAGAAAGAACAAAAACGAACCAAATCAAAACGCAACCACTAACGCAAACCCACCTAAACACAAAGAAAACACTAACGCGAACATAAACGCCCGGGGCGGAATCACCTGTTTTAGCTTAATGAACGACGATAGTACCCCAACTTATTCATAGTCTTTTGCACTCACTTAAACGAACGCGCCTGTTTCAATTTGATGAACAATTATAATACTCCAAGCTTATCCGTAAAATACCTACAACATTTGCACTTGATCAATCCCCGCTAATTATGTAATTATTTTTTTTTCCCAACACCAAAACAAAGTAATTAAAAAGTAAATACTTTTCCACAAAATGCAATGGTTTTATAAAGGGAAGTAATTGTGTTTTCCTAATTTATCAAAGGGAAGTAAGTGCTATAGGACTAAATAAAGACATAATTAGAATTTTTGTAAAAGATGATATTTTTTTAAAACTTGTGTTTAATGAACATGCCGACAATTATTACTATAATTTGAAAAATGAAAATGATTTCCCAACACTTTCAGTAGTAATTTTTTAGCTCATAAATTTAGACAAATGCGCACGATAATTTTCTAACACTTAAATTCATACAATTTCAACGACAAACATATGCATTACATACAGAACTGAGCTTTATATATTAGATATATATATATATATATATATATATATATATATATATATATATATATATATATATATATATATATATATAGGGGGGCCTAAAATATTTTTTTGCGGGGTGGCCCTTTTTTTCTAGTTCCGCCACTGGTCAAAATTGTAACTTTTGGCTCTTTCGTCTCAAAAGGTTGCCGACCCCTGGCTTAGGTTGACAAATTACATCTATATACTACTAAAAGTCAAGTTTGTTTACATGTTTGAATATTTATTTTTTTGTTTTTTTGTTTGTTTGTTTGTTTGCCTGATCAAGTATCCTGATATGTTCGGCTCTATCTGGAGAGCTGTAAAATAGTATGTAGGTAGAGAATAATTTTTTAATGCAGACAGACTGTTAATCACAAATTTATTTAAAGACGTTAATTAATTTATTGATTTATTCATCGTTAAATTAACCGTATTTTTTAAAAAATGTTAATACTTTGAATAAACTTTGTGGGGATAGTGACGTCCCTTGATAGTGACGTCAGAGTTTTTTGTTGACTCTTTAGTACAATAAAATGGCGGCGTCTATCGAAGAAAATTGTGTTCCCATTCCAAAGTTTAACGCGTTCTAAATCTAATTTTCTGTCGGTCATAACTTAAACAATACGTCCGTTTGCTGTATTTATTACGTTCCAACACTTATATCAATTTTCAACTGTCTTTTTTTATTTAGTTTTACAATAAATTTCTCTAGATCTAAAGATCAGCTGTCGAAGGAAATTTATGAATCTAGCCTAGATCTAGATCACTAAACTCAATGTAAATTCTAAATCTAGACTTAATGTAAATTCTACATCTAGAATCTATTTCAGGCCTTAATACATCTAGAATCTATTTCAGGCCTTAATTATTTTATATAAATCTTTGTTTGGCTAATTTAAGATAAAATTTAATTTGAAAGTTACTACTTCTAGACTAGACGCTCGAAATCAAGTTGCATCAAAGTATAGTATAAAAATTCATTTGTGACGTCAGGAGTAAATAGCTAAGTTTGTAGCGTTGTCCGCTCTCATGCGAGTGGTACAGGTTCTAGACCAATATGTCAATGATATTTTTTTTCAATTTTTTTTTTTTTAGATGTTAATGATAAAAAATGATTTTTTTTTTCAATTTTTTTTTTTAGATGTTAATGATAAAGTTGCCTATCTGAACTTGGCAGGATACAGGGCAGGTGAAGTAGAGTTCATCTGTTTCTTTGTCCTAACCATATGAAAGGATAGTGTGGTCAGAGACATGCTCGGCTGGAATCGTTTTTTAAACGATAAAAACATGTTGTCTGAGACTTGGCGGGACACTGGGCAGGTGAAGTAGAGTTGAGTAGGTCACATGTGACGTCAGTATATGAAGGGATAGTCCGAAATCGGTGTTTTCGGTGTTTTTAAAAGATAAGAAACATATTTTTGAATGTGTGCTCTGTTTTTGTGACGATAAGTGACACTGCAGTAGCGTAGCGAGGAGGGGGCGGGGGGCGGGTGGGGAGGCGGGGGGGGGGGGGGAAGGGGAGGCGGGGGGGGGGGGGGAAGGGGAGGCGGGGGGGGGGGGAAAGGGGAGGCGGGGGGGGAGGGGAGGCGGGGGGGAGTGAAGGGGGGGGGGGGGCGGGGGGACGTATGTTGGGGCGCCAAAATGGTTTGGAAAAATAAATTGAAAGGTTGAGGGGGGTTCAAATCGAAAGTTTGAGTGGGGGGGGGGGGGAGGGGGTGCACATCAAAAGTTTGAGGGGGGGGGGTTGAAAATCAAAATCTTGGGGGGGGGTTAAAATCGAAAAGTTTGTCCCCGGGCGCCGGGAAGGCTCGCTATGCCTCTGAGTGACAGACGTGATGTTTTTTGATGGATGACCCCCGAAACCCACAGTTATCCAAGGGATGACGGGTATTCTAGTATAAATATAACTTTAAGTTATTTTCTACTGTAAAAATTATATAGAGCTTAAGTTCTAAAGAAAATAGTTTGGTAGGTTTTTTTTTAGCATTTATCAAGTTGCAAAAACAAATACATCAGTAGCCGTTGTAGATTGCAATACTTAATGTTAGTAGACACTAGACCACCCGTCATCCTTTGGATAACTGTGGCTTTCGGGGGTCATAAAAAACTCAGACATTTTTGTCTTTTAAAAACACCGATTTCCGCTGAGCATGGGTCTGACCACACTATCTCTTCATATGCTGACGTCACAGGTGAACTCTACACCTACCCAACTCTACTTCACCTGCCCAGTGTCCCGCCAATTCTCAGACAACAATTTATTTATCGTTTAAAAAAGTAAATAAATCACGTGACGTCGCTATAAGTCATTGTTCTGAAATTTTATAATTAATGTTGTTAATCTACCAATGAATATATCAATAAATTAATTAACGTCTTTAAATAAATTTGTGATTAAAAGTTTGGTCAAAAAGAACATTGTTCTCTACCTAATTACGTTTTGTACAGCTCTACACAGAGTGCAGATTCTCTCTGGTAACCAAACAGACAAACAAAAATACAAAAAAAAAAAACAAATAAATATACAAACATGTAAACAAACTTGAGTTTTAGTAGTATATGAGAGATAGATACATAGTAGTATATAGATAGATAGATAGATACAGTCTTAGTCGTAAATTAAACATCTAATTAATTGTGTTTGCATATTTTTCACCCTCTCTTAAAGGATTCATATATAACAATTCTAGGTTGGAATCTATACCATTTATAACCTTTTATTTTTCAAAAACCAAAAAAAAGAAATCGTTAACTAATCACACAATATAGATATTTAACAATTATAACTAAAGACAGTCAAGCTTAAGACAGGTAAGTTCTGTTTGGGAACTCACCTTTTGGAGGAATGCAGAGAGCCCAACACTACAAGATTTTTTTTCAGTGGTTTTTCTCCAGACTTATTCTCCCGGGAGGGGGGGGGGGGAAGGGGAAACAATTAAAATTTTCTAAGGGGGGTGGGGAGGTGGGGGGCTATGACGTAAAGTACAAAGTAGACTCGCGGACTAAGCAACAATAAAATATGATTATGCTTTCAAACTGGGATTGAAGGAATTAGTACAAACTTTTGAGACGAAGGGGGCAAGTAAAATTTTGATTTTGATGTCTAGTTATAACATGTATGCAATTGATAATATATTAATATGTCTCTTTCGTGTGAAAGGGGGCGTTTTAATAAGTTTTGCCTCGAGCGCTAAATAACCTGGCGCCGGCACTGTGTACACCTGTTTATGGGACCCCGACATTCATGTCGTAGACTGCCAATCACAGTCGCCGTACCTGGTTTACACTTAAAATAAAGTGTCTAACTAATGATCTAATAATTAGTTATCTGTGTGTTCTTTTAATCTTGTTTAATTTCATTCTCTCTTATCTTCAGTGATAAAATGACGTAATTAAATACTGCGTTCGTTCAACTTTCGTGTTTTTTTAAACAAATGATTAAAGTTGATTAAAAAGCAGGATTCGAACGCAAAATCGACCATTTTGTTGTAGACCTAATTAATTTTTTTGAAATTTTGCAAATTAATTAACGAAACACTATGCCGTGGTGCTGCATACCCCAAAAGCCGGCTGAGAATGTTAATGAGTTGTACGATCGTCTTAAGGTGAGTGAACGTGAGTGTCATTCAGTTGTACGATCATGAAAGCATTGGAAAGGTGAGTGAATGAGAATGTCAATATACGCTAAGCTTGCAGTGAGTGACTAAGAACGTCAATGAACCGTACGCTAAGCTTACTGTGGGTGACTAAGAATGTCCATGAACTATACGCTAAGCTTGCAGTGAGTGACTAAGAATGTCCACGAACTATACGCTAAGCTTACTGTGAGTGACTAAGAATGTCAATGAAATGTACGCTAAGCTTGCAGTGAGTGATTAAGAATGTCCATGAACTATACGCTAAGCTTGCAGTAAGTGACTAAGAATGTCAATGAACTGTACGCTAAGCTTACTGTGGGTGACTAAGAATGTCAATGAACTATACGCTAAGCTTGCAGTGAGTGACTAAGAATGTCAATGAACTGTACGCTAAGCTTGCAGTAAGTGACTAAGAATGTCAATGAACTGTACGCTAAGCTTACTGTGGGTGACTAAGAATGTCAATGAACTATACGCTAAGCTTGCAGTGAGTGACTAAGAATGTCAATGAACTGTACGCTAAGCTTACTGTGAGTGACAGACGTTCAAACTCAGTCTAGACAAACGTCAACAATGGGTATTGTTCCTTATGAATATTTGAACCCCCCCCCCCCCCCCTCATCTCCAGACACACACACCCTCACCCCCCCCCCTCCTCCGACTGTCTCAGTATCGATCCTTCGTAACGATTAGCCTTACCCATTAGGTATCGTTTCCGTCCGTATCGTGTATACGATTATGTTGATCGGATACAGCTGTGTGGTATCTACCACAATAGAATAGAATATTACAACAGTTTGAATTATTGACAAATTTATGAACTAAATACTAATACAATATTACAATAGCTTTATTTAGATATGATTTTAAAATTAAAGTTAGAATATATCTGAAAAGACAATATCGTATCAATATCAACTTTTCTGAAGCTAAGTTATTAACGAAATAATTATTATTTTGTGGACGTTTTTGGATAAAGTATTCGATACTATTTGTTTTGGCTAGTATTGCTACTCTTCTGTAACCAATCCTAACCCTAAACCTGGCTCTTACATTAAGTTAGGCTAAAAAACCTCTCCACTGTATGCTTTTGTCTTTTTTGACATTTTAACCAACTTTTTCTTAGATTAGACGGCAGTTTGAAACTTTCGTCAAACTGCGCGTTTTTAATGTATGGTTTTAAAGGATTTATGTGACAGATTTTATAAAGTCTTTCTAAACACCCCACGTATCTCGTTCACATCAAACTGTCGAGAAGAAAACTGTGCTATATAATTTGTATTGTTGTAAAGTTCGCCTTCATACATGAAGGTCTACGGGACTAGTGAAGTAGCGTTCGCTTGTTAACTTATTGACTTTCGCACTTTTTTTAAACAGCACGAACATGTTTTATTTTATTTTTTTCAAACCTCAACCTCCACATTTAGGTCACGTGACCGTCCAATCGATGGCGACGAGACGACGGAGATAATAAAAATGTCAACAATGTTTGCCGATACCCGATCTAATCAATCAGACAATGCTCGCATCTGACGATAAACTTAATGCTAACTTGCAAGCTAACCTTTACTGTATGACGATAAACTTAATGCTAACCTTTACTGTATGACGATAAACTTAATGCTAACTTGCAAGCTATCCTTTACTATATGACGATAAACTTAATGCTAACTTGCAAGCTATCCTTTACTATATGACGATAAACTTAATGCTAACTTGCAAGCTAACCTTTACTGCATGACGATAAACTTAATGCTAACTTGCAAGCTAACCTTTACTGTATGACGATAAACTTAATGCTAACTTGCAAGCTATCCTTTACTGTATGACGATAAACTTAATGCTAACCGAAACTTAGAGGCTAACCTTTACTGTATGACGATAAACTTAATGCTAACTTGCAAGCTAACCTTTACTGTATGACGATAAACTTAATGCTAACCAAAACTTGCAAGCTAACTTTACTGCATGACGATAAACTTAATGCTAACTTTACTGCATGACGATAAACTTAATGCGATCTTGCAAGCTTACCTTTACTGTATGACGATAAACTTAATGCTAACCGAAACTTAGAGGCTAACCTTTACTGTAATCGGTTCGATTGTACCCCTAACTCGATACCCCATGTGAACGATATTTTTTGGTTTATTTCAGTTTAAAAATAAATTTAAAAAAACCTTAACATCAATTTATTAATGAGAGATCAGTACAACACAAATGTCAACATGATCTTGTATCAAGGTTGAACTAACCTTGTGACTGCAAAATATAAAATAGAAAGCAAAATTGTCAGCTGAGTTGTCTAAAAGCAAGATTGTCAGTAAAGTTGTGTAACCATGGCATTCTGAAGCGGAATGATGAATCAGTAGTGTAAGGAAAAAACGCAGGAAGTCAAGAGATTGCGCATCTTAAGCCGAGATATTGTGCATCTTCAGGCGGCTGTATAAATGGGTTGATCTTGCATTTTAATCTTTCTGACTCTTGAAATATAACTATCATCTGACTCCTATAATTTAAATAGCATCTGACCCTTGTAATGTATATCTCATTTAACGTGAGCTTGAAACTGCCCAGGCAGAATAGCATTTAATTTAGACAAAAAATTATACAAAATTAAACTGCGATGATAGAACTGCAATTTAAATATACAAAATTAAAATCTATAAACTTAATAAATAAATTAGGGCTTCATCATTTTATGCTATTAGAGTAAGCTAGAGAAGGGGTCAAATTAACAATTAAAAAACGCGTTGGGGATCGGGAAGGGAGGGTTATAACCTGAAACTCCGCACCGGAACTGCGTGATCGAGCGGTAGCGCACACAACTGCTAACCCAAAAGTCTAGATATCAAACCCTGGTTCGTGTCCGTAGGACGTCTCTGAGTCCACTCAGCTATGATAGGTACCTTACTCATGATAGGGAAAGTAAAAGCGGCTTGGTATAGTACTGACAACAATATCCCTTTATATGTTGACGTTACAGGAACTCTACTTCATCTGTCATTTGGACAGCCAGAACCAAAAGGGTCACTTTGTTAACACACCGTGCAACACCCAACCCAATGACACTAACATTGTAAAATGCCATGTAAAAACTCATGTAATAATTCTCTCCTGGAGCAGGCAAGCGACAGCAAGTCACTTCTGAAGAAATACTTGACACAGGAATGTTTCGACAAACTGAAGAAGAAGAAGACCTCCTACGGCGGGACTCTGGCTCTGTGCATCAAGTCAGGTTGTATCAACACGGACAGCAGTGTGGGCATCTACGCCTGCGACCCTGACGCCTACAACACCTACAGTATGTTGTTCGATCCGGTGAGTGGGTGGACGCTGAAGTAGGTGTGTGGTTGGTTGGCGGACAATGAAATAGGTGTCTAGTGGGTTGGCGGACGTTGAAGTAGGTGTCTGGTGGGTTGGCGGACGCTGAAATTGGTGTCTGGTGGGTTGACGGACGCTGGAATTGGTGTCTGGTGGGTTGGCGGACGCTGAAATTGGTGTATGGTGAGTTGGCGGACGCTGGAATTGGTGTATGGTGAGTTGGTGGACGCTGGAATTGGTGTCTGGTGGGTTGGCGGACGCTGGAATTGGTGTCTGGTGGGTTGGCGGACGCTGAAATTGGTGTATGGTGAGTTGGCGGACGCTGGAATTGGTGTATGGTGAGTTGGTGGACGCTGAAATTGGTGTCTGGTGCGTTGGCGGACGCTGAAATTGGTGTCTGGTGGGTTGGCGGACGCTGGAATTGGTGTCTGGTGGGTTGGCGGACGCTATAATTGGTGTCTGGTGGGTTGGCGGACGCTGGAATTGGTGTATGGTGAGTTGGCGGACGCTGGAATTGGTGTATGGTGAGTTGGTGGACGCTGGAATTGGTGTCTGGTGGGTTGGCGGACGCTGAAATTGGTGTCTGGTGGGTTGGCGGACGCTGGAATTGGTGTCTGGTGGGTTGGCGGACGCTGAAATTGGTGTATGGTGAGTTGGCGGACGCTGGAATTGGTGTATGGTGAGTTGGTGGACGCTGGAATTGGTGTCTGGTGGGTTGGCGGACGCTGAAATTGGTGTCTGGTGGGTTGGCGGACGCTGGAATTGGTGTCTGGTGGGTTGGCGGACGCTGGAATTGGTGTATGGTGGGTTGGCGGACGCTGGAATTGGTGTCTGGTGGGTTGGTGGACGCTAAAATTGGTGTCTGGTGGGTTGGCGGACGCTGAAATTGGTGTCTGGTGGGTTGGCGGACGCTGGAATTGGTGTATGGTGAGTTGGTGGACGCTGAAATTGGTGTATGGCGGGTTGGCGGTCGCTGAAATTGGTGTCTGGTGGGTTGGCGGACAATGACGCTGGAATTGGTGTATGGTGAGTTGGTGGACGCTGAAATTGGTGTATGGCGGGTTGGCGGACGCTGAAATTTGTGTCTGGTGGGTTGGCGGACAATGACGCTGGAATTGGTGTCTGGTGGGTTGGTGGACGCTGGAATTGGTGTCTGGTGGGTTGGCGGACGCTATAATTGGTGTCTGGTGGGTTGGCGGACGCTGGAATTGGTGTATGGTGAGTTGGCGGACGCTGGAATTGGTGTATGGTGAGTTGGTGGACGCTGGAATTGGTGTCTGGTGGGTTGGCGGACGCTGAAATTGGTGTCTGGTGGGTTGGCGGACGCTGGAATTGGTGTCTGGTGGGTTGGCGGACGCTGAAATTGGTGTATGGTGAGTTGGCGGACGCTGGAATTGGTGTATGGTGAGTTGATGGACGCTGGAATTGGTGTCTGGTGGGTTGGCGGACGCTGAAATTGGTGTCTGGTGGGTTGGCGGACGCTGGAATTGGTGTCTGGTGGGTTGGCGGACGCTGGAATTGGTGTATGGCGGGTTGGCGGTAGCTGAAATTGGTGTCTGGTGGGTTGGCGGACAATGACGCTGGAATTGGTGTATGGTGAGTTGGTGGACGCTGAAATTGGTGTATGGCGGGTTGGCGGACGCTGAAATTTGTGTCTGGTGGGTTGGCGGACAATGACGCTGGAATTGGTGTATGGTGGGTTAGAGGTTGCTAATATAGGTGTTATTTGGCTTGGCGGACGCTAGGTTGGTGGACGCTGAACAGGTCACGTTTCACATGATCGTAGCCAGGTAGCTGTGGCTAGACAATACACACACGCACACGCACACACACACACACACACACGTTTAGTGTGAAAACGTCGTGTCATGTAATATTTCCCGACGTCGCACGGCTACTTCACTTATACAATTATTTGTAGCCTGCATTGAATAAAATCAATAATTTTCGAATCTTTTACTATTTAATACGCACTAAACTGTTGCATACCAATCAAGCTAATTAGCCCCTCTGATCGGAACATTTCAGATCATCAAAGAATATCACAAAGTGACGACGATAGACCATCCCGTCTGCCACTTCGGCGATGAGAAGGACTTGGATTTCGGTGACCTTGACCCCAACTACGACTACATCTACTCCACCCGTGTGAGGGTGGGGCGGAACCTGGAACCCTACCCCTTCCCGCCCCTCATCTCGTGGGAAGCCAGGTATTGCTGTCTAATTTAACGCGCTCTTAAAACATGTGGTTTAATCCTTCCTGATTCTAATCATTGACGTATCTTTTTGTCTACAAACTCCCTTCATTTGACCGTTATGTTGGTCTACAAGTTCCCTCTGTTTGACCGATGTTTGTCTACTAGTTCTCTAAACTTGACCGTTATGCAGTTCTAAAAGTTCCCTATACTTGATCCCTATATTGATCTACAAGTTCCCTCTATTTGACCGCTGTTTGTAACTAGTTCCCTATACTTGACCGTTATGTTGGTCAACAAGTTCCCTATACTTGACTGTTATGTTGGTCTACAAGTTCCCTATACTTGACTGTTATGTTGGTCTACAAGTTCCCTATACTGGACCGTTATGTTGGTCTAAAAGTTCCCTATACTTGACCGTTATATTGGTCAATAAGTTCCCTATACTTGACCGTTATGTTCCCTTGCAGGTTGGAGATCGAAAAGAAAGCTGAAAACGCCGTCATGTCGTTTATGGGCGAGTTCCAGGGCGAGTACTACCCCCTGACGGGCATGTCCAGATTTAGGAAAAATATTCTTACAGACCACCATTTTCTCTTTAACGACAACAACAGGTAGGATGTCTGTAGGATTTACAGTGCTCGGTTGGTCAATGAGATTCTACATTATTTAAAGTTTCTCTGTACCTTTGTGGTTTACTTGTCTAGCTGTTTCTTGGCTGAATATGAGAGCTCTTTTGTGTTGTCAACAGTAATATTGGGGGTAATTTCCGTTAACAAAATTGAGCATCACCTGTTAATATGTTGTTCGCCGTATAGCCTCTAGACTCCGACTAGCCTGCTTTTCTATGTGGATATGTTTCCCAAGCCTTTGTCGATATAATAACAGTCGTATAGGAAATAGCAGTTATATTTTATTTTTTGAGTTCTCTTTCCTCATCTGTTTTGTGATCCAAACTGGGTTTCTATAGTTGTCTACCTTAAGTTCATCCGCTTGACAATACCGTTCCCTAGAACTCAATTTTGACAAATATCTCGAGTTGTTTTTTCCAAAAGTTCTCCTTAAAAAATTGCACCACACTAACATGATATTGCAAGCAAGTATATCTACATGTAAAAAACATATATATATATATATATATATATATATATATATATATATATATATATATATATATATATATATATATATATGTATATATATATATGTATATATATATGTATATATATATGTATATATATATATGTATATATATATATGTATATATATATGTATATATGGATATATATATATATATATATATATCCTGTATGTATGTAGGTTTTTGGAGGCCTCCGGTGCCTACGCAAACTGGCCCTCGGGGCGGGGTATCTTCCACAACACCAAAAAAACTTTCTTGACGTGGGTCAACGAGGAGGACCACCTGAGGGTCATCTCGATGCAGCAGGGCGGGGACCTGAAGGAGGTGTACCTGAGGCTGGTCATGGCCCTGGACGCCTTCCAGCTGAATGGGATGAAGTTTGCCTGGAGGGCGGGGCTGGGGTGAGTGACTCACGTCCCTATCATTCTGTTTGGTGATCATTAATTTTTTTTTGTTTTCTTTCAATTTTTAATTCTAAATTTATATTCATTTGGATGTAGCCGATTAATTGATTTTTTTTTAAATTTATAAAATTTAAAGCAACCAAAAATAAAACCTGTCCATGTTTTTTTTTAATTGGCATTATTTCGTAGACACACAACCTTTTTGACCTGGTCCCATTATGTCGAAAACACTGACTTGACCCCCCCCCCCCCACCCCCCTCTCTCTTACCCCCGGGGGAAATTACCTTTGGTTACATTTAGGAATCACACTCTGAAGTTCACCGAGTAACTAACGCCATCGGCTTTGTTTCCACTTTCTAGTAGCTTTACTACGTGGTGACCAGAAGAAAAAAAAATCATAAAGGAAAGTGATCTCCCTTGGGGTGAAATAATTACTTCCCTTTTTTCCCGTTAACAGGATTATCTCCCCCTCACCCGCGTAATATGTTTGTCTTTATGCTTACAGAAATATGTAGCTAAATTGCTAAATATTAGCAATAAGCAATAAATAAATCAACCCGATTATAATGGATTTATGTGCTACATTAAGTCATTAAACACTGGGTACTGAATATGAGTGTGTGATTATCAACACATCACTGTAAGCGGTTTTGTGATCATTTGTTTTCGCATGCAATCATAAAATCGTTTTCCAACATATACGCAAAGTGTGACATTTATTTCCATTTCCCAATTGAACTTAATAAATGGTTTTGTTATTTATTTCCGTTATCAAATGTAACTACGTAAATGGTTTTTTAAATTAATTTCCGTTATCAAATGTAACTATGAAAATGTTTTTTTTTTTTACTTTCTCGTATATACGAAGTATAGAGAAAGTCTTTTAATCGTGCAAAAAAAAAAATCGAGATTTTTACGAATCTCGACGTTTTACACCTCACTGATACGGAAAAACATAATTTTTCGATCTTGTCCGTATGTCTGTGTGTGTTTGTGTAAGTGTGTATGTATGTGTCTGTCTGTGTGTGTGTGTAAACACGACAACTTGAGTACCGTTACAGCTAGGTAGATGAAATTTCATTAATAAGTATTTTATCAAAATCATAGATCCGTTACAACTTTTGAGCGATTTCTGATAACCGGAAGTGGTACTTTTTCTACTTTGAATTTTCAAAAGCCTCTAACTTGCGTACTATTTCAGATAGATAAATGAAATTTAACAAGTAAGTAAAAGATCTATATCTCTACCTTCTGTCAAATTTTATAGTAATTTCCATTGACCAGAAGTAGTAATTTACGCTATTTCCGATTTCTCAAAAACGCAAGTGAATTTATAAAGTACTTTTAATATTCCGCACAAATATATACATCTTTATTCGGCGTTCGCGTGGTGCGCAATTCTTTTTTATGAGATTCTATTCTATTTTTAAAAGTTTAAGTATTTAAAATGGATTAAAAATCATAACTATGTCCCGAGTTACCATCCCCTGTTGTTTTATATACGAATATTCGAGAAAGTTTAGGGGAGATCACTACCAGTTTATTTAATTTATCTCCGTTTCAAATGTAACTATGTAAATGGTTTTGTAATTTTTTTTTACATTTGCCAGTTGAACTATATAAATGGTTTTCGAATGTATTTCCGTTTTTCGATGCAACTATAAAATGTTTTTTCCAGTTTTTCAACGCAAAGTGTGAACATTTAGTTCCATTTGCCAATTGAACTTAAATGGTGTTGTTAATTATTTCCTTTATCAAATGTAACTTTGTTATTTATTTCCATTTTTCAATTGAACTACATAAATTGGATTTCGAATGTATTTTCGTCTCATACAACTACATAAATGTTTTTTTGTTATTTATTTCCGTTTCCCTATGTAGCAATATAAATAACTTTCTAATTTATTTCCGTTTTGCAATTCTGTTTGTGATTTGTTTTCGTCGTTAGATGCAACTATATTAATATTATCGTAATTTATATCCGTTTTCCTATGTAACTATATAATTCGTTTTTGTTGTTTCTTTCTGTTGTCAAATACAATTCCATTAATCGTTTGGCAATATTTACTTCCTTAGTAAAACAAAAATTCTTTTTATAGATTAGAAATGAAAATAATTGTTTCATCTTTTGTTAGGCTGACAAGTTTTGTCAGTCAAACAAAACAAATTTAACTTTGTCAGATGAACAGGACAACTTTAACTTACTGCCAACAGATTTCCTCACATATTGAATTTATATATAGACTCAGACATCTAGAAATACACGATACATTGCTATTTAACTAATACAGACCCTGATATCACACCCGCTAAAATTTATAACAAACGGTTTCATAACTTCCGTTATGTATATTATGTATACTTTACGCTGGTAGATAAATATCTGTTGATATATATATATATATATATATATATATATATATATATATATATATATATATATATATATATATATATATATATAAATATAAATATAAAAGCAAGATGTAATCCTATTTAATTAACTGGACCAATAATTAGTCACGTGTTCATAAATCTTCTGCTCTCTGATGGCCTGTGAACGCGTCATAGGCAGCAGACAGACTGCTCTCTTTGTGAGTGGGGGAGGGGAGGGGGGGGGGGGGAAGAGGAGACTGGGGGGGGGGAATAAACGTGAGTGGAATAGAATCATACTGGCTGCATTTTGGACATTGACCGGATGTTGAAGGATTGTGGGATTTACAGGAGGGGAAGGTTTTGGTTGGTTCATGTTGACACAAGAAATATGGTCGTGTTGACATGGTGACATGGTGACACAAGAAATTTGGTCGTGGTGACATGGTGACATAAGAAATATGGTCGTGTTGACATGGTGACATGGTGACACAAGAAATATGTTCGTGTTGACATGGTGACATGGTGACACAAGAAATATTGTCGCGGTGATATGGTGACATGGTGACACAAGAGATATGGTCGTGGTGACATGGTGACATGGTGAAACAAGAAATAAGTTCGTGGTGATATGGTGACACAAGAAATATGGTCGTGGTGACATGGTGACATGGTGACACAAGAAATATGTTCGTGTTGACATGGTGACATGGTGACACAAGAAATATTGTCGTGGTGACATGGTGACACAAGAAATATGTTCGTGTTGACATGGTGACATGGTGACACAAGAAATATTGTCGTGGTGACATGGTGACACAAGAAATATGGTCGTGTTGACATGGTGACATGGTGACACAAGAAATATTGTCGTGGTGATAAGATGACATGGTGACACAAGAAATATGGTCGTGTTGACATGGTGACATAAGAAATATGTTCGTGTTGACATGGTGATATGGTGACACAAGAAATATTGTCGTGGTGACATGGTGACACAAGAAATATGTTCGTGTTGACATGGTGACATGGTGACACAAGAAATATTGTCGTGGTGACATGGTGACATAAAAAATATGTTCGTGTTGACATGGTGATATGGTGACACAAGAAATATGGTCGTGGTGACATGGTGACATGGTGACACAAGAAATATGTTCGTGTTGACATGGTGACATGGTGACACAAGAAATATTGTCGTGGTGACATGGTGACACAAGAAATATGTTCGTGTTGACATGGTGACATGGTGACACAAGAAATATTGTCGTGGTGACATGGTGACACAAGAAATATGGTCGTGTTGACATGGTGACATGGTGACACAAGAAATATTGTCGTGGTGATAAGATGACATGGTGACACAAGAAATATGGTCGTGTTGACATGGTGACATGGTGACACAAGAAATATGTTCGTGGTGACGTGGTAACACAAGAAATATGGTCGTGTTGACATAGTGACATGGTGACATGGTGACACAAGAAATATGTTCGTGGTGACATGGTGACACAAGAAATATGGTCGTGTTGACATAGTGACATGGTGACATGGTGACGTTGTGATATGGTGACACAAAAATATGGTCGTGGTGACATGGTTACATGGTGACATGGTGACATGGTGACACAAGAAATATGGTCTAGGTGACATTATATCAATTTTAGGGGTGACATTATAAAGGTTCGGAGTGTTACAATCAACGTCATTATAAATGTATCTTCCTAAACAGTTTACATATCTGCAAAAGTACAGGTCCCATTTAGGGCCTGAAGGTCAATACGGCAGGTGAAGTAGAGTTCACCTGATCCCCTTAAATAGCCACATAACAGCATAGAGCGGTTAATTCAATATAAAGCTGCATTCACTATCAACATCGTGAGCCAGGTATCCATAAGAGCTGAGTGAACTCAATGACGTCATTCTAGATCTCACATAAACTTAAATATTTCATTAGCGCACAAAGGAGCCAACAATCCCCAAGTAACAATACAATGTAAAGTTCTTTTTGTTTTTTTTGCTGTCCAAAGGATAATAAATGCAACTTTGATTTTTTTTTTGTCGAGTTCTCAATACACTCCCCTTAACTAAATCAACCTTACCATGTCTATGCGTGGATTCGGTGTTCTGAGCCCAAGATTCAGCACTTTTTTGTTCCCAGCATCCGTTGTTGTTTTTTTTCCAGTGTAAATATTACTTGTCTGGGGTCATCTTGACCTCCCAGACAAGTCTGTAAAAGTGGATTCGATAACCTGGGCGAAGGTGAAATATATCCGGCATTTTTTTGTAATGAATGGGTATTGTCCATACAGGATGAATTACACAAAGGGAAAGAACTCCGTTTGTCTGGTTTATTGCATGAACTTGTAAATACAATAGGTTTTCTTATTGAATTGACGTCTAGTAAAAAAAAAGTTTTTATAATTTACTTTTCACAATAGCAACAATTTTTTAAAAGTTTATTTAAAAAGATTATAATTTTTTTTTTCTATGGATGACGTCAGCAAGGGAATAACTGAAATGTGAACACGGTGGAAGTTTTGTTGTAGGGTAGCAGGGGTGGTGTGGGGGTGGGGTGGGGAATAAAGAGGGGAGTTTGTGGGTTATCTGGGGGGGGGTCACGAACTCATACTTAAGAAACAAAAAATATCTTTGTAAAGTGCTAA